GAATATAAAGTTTTCTGCAGCATACATGTATCTACCTGCCTAAATTTATGTGAAAGAGTGTGTGTGTGTGTGTGTGTGTGTGTGTGTGTGTGTGTGTGTGTGTGTGTGTGTGTGTGTGTGTGTGTGTGTGTGTGTGTGTGTGTGTGTGTGTGTGTGTGTGTGTGTGTGTGTGTGTGGTGTGTGTGTGTGTGTGTGTGTGTGTGTGTGTGTGTGTGTGTGTGTGTGTGTGTGTGTGTGTGTGTGTGTGTGTGTGTGTGTGTGTGTGTGTGTGTGTGTGTGTGTGTGTGTGTGTGTGAAGAAACATAGTCCTTGGAGCATGCAGGAACCCCTACGAGTTACTCTTTCTTCTATGATTTTTACCATTAGAAATAAGCAAATGCATACATCAAGTAAAAGAAAATCAATTCCTTTATCTCATTAGAGCAAACACAAAATCTTGGTCTTCTCTTGACAAATATACAAGTGCAATGTATGTTTATTCCAACTTGTTTTTTTATTATTTCTCTGCAATAATTTTCTAACATCAACATAAGTGCAATTCAGCCTTTTCAAATTTATCCCATATTCATCTTATCATGGTAAAATAATTTTACTTCATGTTTTGGAATTAAATATTTATGTTATGATTTTCTTAGCAGCTTGTTTAATGTCTGAACCAGTTCTTTCAGGTATCTTATATTATCAGCATGAGACACAATTCATCCCTTTCAAAATGAGCCTAAATTCATCTCTCTGCAATAAGCCCTCAGAAATTACAAGGTTTAATAACAGCTGTTTGAGTTCCCAGGGAGTAGATAATTACAGTAGACTTGTGTTGCTTCTTGCCTCAAGTAAAAATGTATCTGTGGATCTCCTACACTTTTTTTATACCTTCTCTTACAAGGGGTGTCAAACTCAAAACCCTTCGTGGGCCAATTTTCCCTTCAGGTACCATCTTGAGGGCCAACAAGGGTTCATATCGGACTTCCCAGAATTTCATTAATAAACTGGTATTATTATGTACTTGTATGTTGATTATTTTAGTTATCATATTTTAAATGGTGATAGTAATGATAACAAATTGTATATGACATTATTTTCCTTCATGGTGATTATAGTTTCATGGGCTAGTGATTCTTCTTGTCACCCCAAGTGCCACTATGATCATCCTTGGGGGACAGATACCCTGCTGACTAGGAGTATGACACCCCTCGGCTATTTCATAACAAAAGCACAACAGAAAAAAAAACCTGTAAAAGTGTGTGATAGTCTTAACAGATGAAGGACTGGCTTAATTAATCATGTAAAAGGGCCACTTGTACAATAGCAAATATAAAATGTGCCATAGGCTGCACATTGGAGTATGGTGCTTCTTTGGTGCTCTAGGAAGTACTAGCTTTGATTGCATTTTCTTCTTAAATGAATAGAATAATGAATCTTTAGCAAATATTATGCAACTCTTGATGGAAATCATGATACCAATAAAAATAAAGAAATCATCATATTTTTATGATAAAGTGTAAAAATACTTAACTCATCTGCATTTGTGGGTAAGGAATAAGTAGGTCTGCACAGAGTTCCTCATCAGTAACAATTATTCATAACACAGTACAGTTGAATTGTTACTAATGAACTTTTAAATTCTGTTCTGTTGAAAACCTTACCATACTGAATAATACATGTATGTTTAAAAAAAGAGGAAAATTAAACACCACCGTTCCCTGATAATTATACATCTATATTGCACTTTGTGTTTTAGAAGATATCTGTGACATTTTATTCCATGTTGTTTTAAATTAAAATATATTTCTAGACTTCTGCAGATACTGAATTTAAAAATCATATTTTCCAATAATGGATTCTTTAAATTATGACTACCTATTAGCATGATAATCACTGATGCTTACATAGCCTCAAATCACTTGATACTATTTCATAATTTTCTAATAATTTTAAATATAATACAATGTAATACAAAAAGACCACATTTAAAAAAATAGAAAATATTATCAACTTAAAGTACAGAGAATCTAAATAATGATAATAAAATACACCAAGAACTGAGTGAGTAATACCTTTGATAAGAAAGACTAATAATTAAAGTACACTTATATATTTGTAAACCTTCCGAGTCATGGAATATAATCACGTATATGTAACATAAAATGCAGAAGCTGCTGCTAACAACCATCAATGATCATTCACAGACATCCTAAGCCATTTTTCTATCATTCCAAGGTCTTCAACAGGTCAACCAGGTCACCAAGCTGCGGCAAGCAATAGTCAGCCAGGAGCCGATGCTTCTCTTCGTCAGAGCTTTTCGACCACATTTCCAGGTCTTCTTTCTTGGTCACTCCTGTCAGCACCACCAATGTATGAAGGCCACAGTTCTTGCCAAACAGAATGTCAGTGTTGCAGCTGTAAAATGTGACAAGCAAAGACAATTAGAATGGATATTAATAACTTGGAAATAATAATAAGAAAGGTTAGCGACAGCAGTATTCACACAAGGCATGTAATATTCACATACCAGATGTAGTCTGCGTTTCATCACACAGTATCTCTCTCTCTCTCTCTCTCTCTCTCTCTCTCTCTCTCACACACACACACACACACACACACACACACACACACACACACACACACACACACACACACACACACACACACACACACACACACACACACACACACACACACACACACACACACACACACACACACACACACACACAGGGATGCTTACCGATCGCCTATCATGAGAGTGCGTGAAGGCTTCAGTTGGTATTTCTCACTTATTACAGTGAACATCTTCTCTGAAGGTTTACCCATGATCAAAGGAGGACGCTCAGCAACAGTTTCAACACAACGCACAAAACTTCCGGTGCCTAAGGTGTAAGCAAGTAAAAAGAGAAAAATTAGTCCAAAGAGAAACTTATAATAACTTTTATTCCTATCCTCTCCCAAAAGTAGAGGTGCTTTGCATCAATACTGTGCATATGTTAAACCATTGAAATATTCTACTCTCATATTTCATAATTATGATTAACTCCCTCATTCCATATTTTTTGTAATCAAACATTATTAGAAGAGATATCAGGAGCCTAGACTGAGGTTTATAATACTATAAAGACCCTAGACTTGGAAAACATGCAAATACTTGAACAGGAATGTATCTTGTTGTAAGACTGAACTTATTCATAATATCCATAGGATGACATGAGCACAAGGAGTGAATATGTAATTGACAACAGATTAATAAGAATATACATTTTTGAACTGGAGTCTAAACAAGAAATCTGTTCATTAGCCTAGAATTTGTCACCTGGAAACACAAGTTTGCTGTCAGTAATTGGGAATCGCTCGTCTGTATTGGTAGCAATAAAAAGACATTCTTGGTCTTCGAGATGTGACGCAGCTCTCATGAGCTTGGGGAAACTAAAGTCAGCGTCAAAGCCCACAGCCACAGCTCCCACCTCTGGATCCAACTCCATGGTCTCAGGCAGCTTGAAGGGACTGACGGTGAGTGGTTCCGGCTGTTAGGAAGAACAGGAGTATTTCAGCGCTGCATGATTGGCTAGAGTTGATTCTAGTGCAGCCTTTGCAGATTTGTAATTAATGACCTATTTGATAACTTGATTATTTAGGGTCAGTCTTTGTTTCTGAAGTAATAAAATCATCAAATAAAACTAAAAACCTAAATAAGCTTACCAATATCTCTACAGCATGAACAACAACAGTTTTATTCTAGCAACCTTTTCTCTGTTTGATCATCTGAACCGCAAAAGCCATTTCCTTTATTTTGATCTCTGAATCACAAATGAAGATTTCTAATCCTTTAAACAAAAGATAAATGGAAAGTAGAACTTGAGAATTATCATTCTGGATATAGCAAGGATATTAAACAAAAGAGAAATCTAGGATAAATGAATAAAGAGTGGGAAATATAAGTGCCCATTATACTTGCTGTAAGTGCAGTGGTACTGACTTTATGCAGTGATGTAGGGAAATGTCACAAAATGTTTGGAAGAATGATCATTTAGTGACCATCACAACAACATTGGTTCATTGCTCAGTCTTACCCCAATGTCAGTGTGTGCAATGCCAACATTATCTAGCTCTGCTGTCATTCCAGATGTTCCAACAACATACACTTTCTTGTTGAAACCTTGCTGCTTTAGGTACTGAGCCATCACAAAGGATGAGCTGACAATTTCTTCCTGTGTGCAATAAAATCTCAGTAAATTTCAGGAAATGCAAGCTGTTCCAAAGCATAAAGCTCTTGTATCACAGTTAAATAACTGTCTCTTTGTATACTCAATCATAATTCAACATCATATCAGTAAAACAAAACAGATATTCAGTATCTCTAACAATTCAGCATTACCTCCTATCAACAATACCCAAATGTTTAAGCATACCTTACTGGCAATGAAGCCAAGCTTTTCGCACTTCTTAACATACTCATCGCGGGATTTTGTTGAGTTGTTCGTGACATAGAAGATTTTCTTCCCAAGAGATCGAAGCTTGTTGACTGCATCATTTGCCCGTCCAATGATATTATCTCCACTCCACAAGACCCCTGAGTAGAAATACAAGAAAGATATTAATTACAAGAAAGATATTAATTCTGGCATATATATTGAGAATCTGTTAAAAATTTTGAAAAAAAAAATGTCTTAGAGTTAACATGTTTACTTACAGCTCTTAAAATATAGCAAGCAAAACTTCAACAACAACAAAAAAAATAAAAATACTTAATTATAGGTTTTCTCTGTCTTTCAATTTTATTATTATTCTTTCCTAGTGAAGAAACTTTTTTTTTTCTAATAATGAAAAATATAAATACAGGTATGTTTTCAGATATTTCAGACGGACAAACATCATGCGTCTTCCTATTTCCTGACGAAACTTTAAATACAAAAACTGGACCACAGATTAGCTCATTCTGGAACACTTTTCCCCCAGTAAGGCAAGATTAGCATGGCAAAAGTATAAGAAAATAACTCATGAAAAGCACTAACCATGATAGCTAACTCAGAATGAGAGAGAGTAGGAAAGCATGAGCAAACTTTACAAGACCATATAAAGAATTTTCCCCAATATTTAAAAAGTTCATATCACTTGTAAATGAATAAAGTAATTCCATGGAATGCAAGATTAGTCTTAAACAAAAACATAGAATTAACGCATATTACAGACAAAGAAAAACCAGACGTATTAGCAATATGTGAAACATGGCTAAAAAAGACAACTTCAATTTGCAAAACTATAAGATATGACAGACCAGGACAAGTAGGAGGAGGTTTGGCTTTTTGCATAAAAGATAAGCTACAATATAAAGAAACAAAAGTAAATGACAGACTAAAAGAGAGAATAGAAGCACTGGGAATAAAAATAAGTCATAAAAATAGCTGGACTAACATTCTATTAATGTACAACCCATGTAATAACCTAAGCCAAAAAGAAATAGAATATTATACAGATAGATAGATGATCCTAAATTAAAAATAGGAGACTTTAATGGTCACCATAAATACTGGAACCCAAGAATAAATGAAAAACAAGCAAATACTACAGGCAAAAACTTATTTAAAGTAATTCAAGAAAACAATATCATTTTAATAACCCGTCCAGGTCATACCACAAGAATAGACCTCAGAAACGCAAAGGAGTCCACTTTAGATCTACTTCTAACATCACCGTCTATAAGTCACTCACAAGTCGTAACAGGCCCCAACCTTGGTAGTGATCACCTACCAATTATAATAAGAGATGACACAATAAACACGACTCCACACTCATAAGAGAAGAAATGGAAATTCTCAAATGAAGGATGGAAAAGTTATCAACTTGAATTAAATAAAACAAACACAAGAAATATAAGTTCCCTAGAAGAAATAACTCCTAATAAAAGACATTGGTGAAAAACGTTTTGCATTTGAAGTACAGAATATAAAAATAAACAAAATAAACCATGGTGGAACGCTAAATGTAAAGAAATTATAAAAGAAAGAAACAAAGCCTACAATAAATGGAAAAAAAGACCAAATGAAAAAAAAATTAGGAGAATATAAAAAACTATTAGCAAAAGCCAAACAAATCATAGAGGAAGAAAAGAGAGAATCATGGGAAAAATTTTGCACTTCGACAGAATTCAATACTCCATCAAAAAAGATCTGGAACTTTATAAAAAAAAAATAACAGGAAAGACAACTCAAAACAACTAACCATTAATAGACAATGACCAACCTATTATAGAAACTAGAAATATCCAAAGATGAATACCAAAAAATAGTAAATAAAAATCAAAAAAATATGCTGACAGACACAAAAAGGGAAGAACTTCTGTAAACTCCTAATGATACAAAGAAAGATAACTAAGAAAGAATCAACTCAAGCAATAGCAATTACAAAAAATAATAAAGCATATGGTCCTGATGAAATACCATACAAATTTTATAAGAATGCCCCTCAAAAAATCTTCGACACGATTCTAAAACAAATGAAAAATCACTGGACTTGTGGAGAATATCCACAAGCTTTCAAAAATGTTCAAATAAACACAATTATAAAACCAGGAAAAAATCCATCAAAAACAAAATCATATAGATTTATCAGCTGTATCACTTGCCTAGGGAAAATATTTGAAAACACTATAACCACAAGACTAAACTGGTGATTAGAAACTAATAACAGACTAGACATAAACATAACAGGCTTCCGATCAAAGTACACCACAGAAGATGAACTCAAAACAATAGAATTAAATATAACTAATGCTATGAAAGAGAAGAAATATGCACTAGTTGCATGTATAGATCTGGGAAAAGCCTATGACACAGTAAACCATGAAGTACTCTTGATAAAAATGGCAAATCTAGGTCTAAAAGGAAACCTGATAAACTGGGTATACAGCTATTTAAAAGAAAGAACTTACCAAATAAGTACTGGTAATCAAAAATCTATAAAAGGTACAATCTCAAGTGGAGTCCCATAAGGCTCCCCTTTAAGCCCAACATTATTCAATATAATGGTAAATGACCTAAATATGTCAACAGAAAAAAGATAATATATGCAGCTGATATAACTATCATCACCTCAAATAAAAATCTAAATGGAGCCAAAAACAATTTGGAAAGAGGAATTAAAGGAAATAATAGAATGGGCAGACACCTGGGATTTAAAAATACATCTAACAAAAAACAAAACATTATGCTTCACAAAAAAAAGAAGTCCAGCAACCAAAAATAAGTATAGACAACATAGAACTAGAATTCACTGACAGCCAACATATATTAGGGCTAAGATTCGACACCCCAAAATTAAACTGGTCTAAACACATAGATAACATAAAAATAAAATCTATTAATAGAATAAATATAATGAAAAAGTTAGCAGCATATAACTGGGGAGCAAAAAGGGAAACTCTGCTGAAGTTTTACAACATTTTTATCACACCAAAAATAGAATATGGCCTATCCATTTATGGAACAGCAAACAAATCAGAAATAAAAAAAA